TCCGCTGCCTGCCATTTGTCACAATTAGCACGGCGGAACTTCAATTACGTATAAAAAAGATAGCCAGCCTCCCCCTGCTCGCATTATCCCAGGCACAGCTCGGCTTTATAGCTAGATGTGCTCTTTTGTTTAGTTGTCCTTATTCAATTTTTTTTTTGTGTTCAGCTCAGACCGCTGTCATGCATAACAAATCTCTTTGACACATTTGATGTATGCGTTTGCTGTGGCCTCAGGCTGGTGTGGGTGTGGGTGTGTGGGTGTGTGGCAGCAGCTGATGCTCCACTTTGCCGAGTTGTTGCAACAAATTGCGGCAACAATTTGGTGGCATGCGTGTGGGTGCATTCCAGCCGGATTCTGGGCCGGCAAACATACTCGTTATTTAGTAGCATCGTTTAACTTTTTATTTACGCTGCGCTTTGCATTTAGCGCCATTTAGTTGTTCCACTTTGACTTTGGAATACAAGTCAAGCCAGCGGCATTAAATTCATCAGACTGTTGCAGCTGCTGCTCCTGCTGCTCCTGCTGCTGTTGCTTGTTGGAGGCGAGGCCATGCGGCGTATACGCAATTTATGTGACAATTCAGTCAACTAACGCCGCCTGCCTGCCAAGCACTTAACCCACTGAACAGTGAACTCTGTCTTAATAAATCAATCAGACAATTGAGTACATATTCAAGCCAGCGTCGAGTCGATAAATTAAGATGCAACTGCAAATGAAAGTGAAAAAAAAAAATGGACAATAAATTAAGTAAAGAGAAACTGAAGTTTCAAAGATTTAATTCAAGCGTATAACTCTTTAATTGGCTTCTCGATCTATATAGAAAAATTAAATTCATGTCCACATTTGAATTGCCCAAGTTTGAACGTAATCTTAACTACTTTAATTAACACCCGAACCACATGGCGTATGCGCCATAAATATTTTACACACACTAAAGGCCAACAATTTTACTGTCTGCTCATGAGTGAGACTTAAACAAAGTTATTTCAAATAATTACGTACGCTAAAAACAAAAATAAAATCTCCAAATATCCATTGATGAAGTCGTAAAGTTAAGAGGCTGTCGGGTAATTACGTGTCCAACTCTGATAGAACTTCGAAGAGAAAAAAGCACACACACACAAAAATAAATATTGAAATAAAACTAAAACAAACTTGTGCATTTATAAAAGTTTTCGTCTTGCTTATTGCTTTTGGCAAATCGATTAAACGGCCAAAGCGTAACAAACTACAAATATATACATACATATGCATGTATATAGAAGCAACACTCAATTTTACGAACATTTAACTAAATACCCGGCCAGCGGAGCAGACTGCTCAGTCCCTCAAAAGCCAAGGAAAATTCGAATAAAAAGAAGAAAAACTAGTAAAATGTAAAAGGATCTGCTCGGAGCAACAGCTACGAAAGCGGAGCATAAAAAAAGTTTGGTGCAAACTACAAAACTGCCATAACTCAACATTACACCCAACAAATACATACACACACACACTCATACACACACATACACTTACACACAGACAACTGCGAGCATATTCGCAAAGCTGAGCTGGAAAAATGTTCGTTGCGAGAAACTTGAAGAGAAACAGCAAAAAAAAAAAAAAACAATGATGAATGCTCACACACACACACACACACATACTTACATAAATTATGGTAAAAAATTGCACAAAATTGCAGCAAAGTAGACGAAAAATGATTATAAAATGTGCATTATGAAATTTAAGGCGAGACAAAGACGCGCATAATTCAAAAGAAGAAAAGCGCACGCAGAAAGTCAGCAAAGAGAAAGCTAAGCTAAAAGTCGCGAATGTAAAATAAAAGATATATACTTATACATATATACATATACATATGTATATATAGTTGTGCAACGATATATCAAGCAATTTAATGCTCAAAAAGGCAGCTAGCTGCGGTTAGCCAAGTCCTGCGGTGCCACTCTCATCGCTGAGCTCTGCCCGCTTGCCACAGCTTCCCGCCCGCCCCCCTCCGACCATCCTCATAAACATGGCGTCCAATTTGTGGCATAAACGCCAAATAAGCATATACAGCATGCTGCATAATGTTGCATACTTTGGGGCGCAGTTAACCAGCACACCCAAGGGGAGTTATGCATATGCATATCCATGCTAGAATGGCTTCTACTTGAAGCGAAAGCAGCAACAACAACAGCAGCAGCAACAGCAGCAGCAGCCGCAGCGGCAGCCACAGCGAGCAAAAATCAGAGAGAAGCGCAAGATGCGAAAGAAGTTCAAAGTGCATATGCAAGCATATTTATGATGCCTGGGACCTGCACAGCTCCGTCTCTCAGCCTTTAATTAGTAAATATACTTAGCAAAGTTGAGGTCGCCAGCGCCACTGGGAACTGCTTGAGAAACTTATGTACAATAAACAATGACAAAAAAAAAAGTTGACAATGACAAAAAAAAAAGGGAAAAAATATGGGAAACAAATATTGTCTTGTGTTAGTATTTTACTACTTTAATTTCATTTATTCAATTTAATTTGATTATATTTAATTAACGTAAGAACAATAAATTATTGCGTTTGTGCTAATTTTTTTAAGTAGCTAAATATGTGAAAAAGAGTATTTATTTATTTTTCTGTATATTATATATTTATTTATTTATAAAATAATTTATATAATTTTGTGTGTGAATATTTATTCGTTTCTTTACTAATTTATTTATTTTATTTTAAATGCAGTCAGTGTTTCGATACTTCAAAATGGCAAGGGAATCAATTTTTTTTTTTTTATTTATTAATTTTTTTTTTTTATTATTTTCTGAGAATTTCAAAATTATTAAGAATTATTAAAAATGAAATTTTCCAAGGGAATAAATATTTTTTATTCCGATTTATCGTAATTTTCGATTTAGCGGGGTACAAATTATCAGGACTCGACTTTATATATACTTATAAATTTTTTATATTTATTTGTTCATATATATCTTTATTTATATTATAATAAACTGAAATTTTCGAATAGTACACGCCTCCAGCAGAGTCTACCCCACTGCCTACATATATGATCCATCAATCCATAACAGACAAGAAATTTGCCAATGCAAAGTCAATTTAAGAGTCTCAAAGTTAGGGCCATGTATATGGAAATATTAGATTAAAAATTAAGTCTTATCTTTGCTGAACCTAACACCTCACTAAATATTTATATATTCCTTATTTGAAAACAAAGAAAAAAAACCTTCCTCGTTGGCTTAATTGGCTATTAGAAACTTTTCGGAAAGCATAAAAAAAAATTGAAGATCATAAAATCAGCGCGTTGCTTCATGAAAATTTGGTCAGCCCGTTGGACAGGCAAAATATGCAAGAGATGCCACCGCAGAATATTTGCATAAATTATTTAAGTTTTTTTTTTTCTGTCGACGGCGACAGGCGTAGGAAATTACCAGCATCGTGTAATGAAAATATGAAAATTTTCAATTTCCACTTAAGCAGCGGACTTGCTCGTTCGTGAGCTGAACTGAGCTGAGCGGTGACAGGCGGGGGACGGACAAGGGACTGGCAGGAGACTGGCAGGGAACTGGCAGTGGCAGGACAGGCCAAGACTAAGTAAATAATAAAAATAATCAACAGGAACACGACAGGCGACAACAATAATAACAAGAAGCGGAGGACCCAACAGATTGGTAGGCAGCGCAGCGGGGGGCGAGGCGTAGGCCTGCCGAGTGGCCCAACATAAAGCAATCAAAATTCAAAGGAAATTTTTATTAATGTCAATGCGTTTCGTTTCGGCCAGACGTATAGAAATAAAAAGCAAATCAATGCAAATGTATTTCCCGTAACTGAATTCAATTTCAAATCCCCGGAGCGACGGTGTTTCATGCTCAACGATAATAATAATAATAATAATAATAATGATGATGATGATGATGATGATGTTGATGATGACGCCATGACCTGACCGTAACAAATTCAATTAGGACACCAACACCACGCACTGCGCACTTAGATGGCCAACTGGAGGCTGGGCCATAGCCATAGCCAAGGCTAAAGCGAAGTTTCCCTTTTACTCAAATAAACCTTTTTTTCTTGCTCTTTTCGCCAGCCCCCTCTCGCTGTGTGTGAGTGTATGTGTTATTCTCTGTCTATGGCATAATTAAATTTCATGTAGCCGTTGGGCAGTTGCAAACGCATGTGCTGGCCCTCCACGAAAAATCGCTCTCTATACAATTTCACCAATTTGCTAGAGTGTGGCACGCATATAATGAAAACTCTTTGAGCATCAATATTCTAGGTTAATATTGATTAAGGGGAGAGAAGCTTGGGCAACTGAGGTGCTATATATAAGGAAAGCAAACGGTTATGTTCGGACATCGCATGAATATGGAATATCGAATTTGCAGAGTCAAATGCTAAGGAATAAAACATAATAACAATACTAAATAATAATGAAATGAAAAAACATACACTTGAGTCTCTATAAGTTGTACCCCGCTTGATAGAAAATCGATATAAATCTTAAGCAAAATTCTATCCCAACAAACGAAAATTCGTTTTTGATAATTGCTGATAATTTGAGTGTTTTGTTGGATTTATATCCACTTTGAATTATCAGGACTTGACTGTACTAAATGTATATGTATTACATAATTAAAGCTTGTCCCAATGCCATATTGTTTAGTAAACTGTCCCTTAAGCACATGGCCAACTCTCGGCGCTTTGCTCTTGGCCGGAAGTTTACCATGTCGATTGAGTTGATGCAATTTCCGCTTTTGTGACAGCTGTAAATTTTCAATTTATTTAACGCCTTGTTCTTGTTCTTCTTCTTCTACTTGTTCCTCTTGCAGCTAAGCGACACGCCCAGCTTGTCGGATGTGGACATAATACCGCCTGTGCCGCCGCCGCCTGCGCTCAAACGGAACGGCAGCATGCGCAGCCTGCGTCTGCTGCAGCAGCTGCAACAACAACAGCAGCAGCAGCAACAGCAACAGCAACAATTGTTGCCATTAGCTGTCAACAAGAGCAACAACAATTTGGCAATGGGCATGGCTCAGCTGTGCAGCAGCGATCTGCTAGAGAATTGCACCAAGACGGCGCTCGATGATTGCGCTGCGACATTGCTGAAGTGCGCCAACAGCGGCAATAGCAACAGCAGCGCCAGCAGCAATATGAATGTCAAGCCGGATCTGTGCAATGGCAATGGCCACGCCCATAGCCTTAAGAAGTCACACAAACCGAAGCACCCGCCCTTTGCCGCACACGAGGAGGACAACATCTTTACGCCGCACTCACAGAAATCTGATCCCAGTTTATGTTTTGTGCCAGCCGCAGCCGCACCAACAGCAGCTGGAACAACAGGCAGCACAGCAGCAACTATTGCTGCCGCACCCAACAAATACAATACAATCGGGCCGAGCAGCGATTATGCCAGGCACTTGGCCCACTATAGCCGTTACCTGCAGAAGCAGCATCAGCAGCAGCAATTGGCTCACTTTCAGCAGCAGCGCTGTCGCTGCTTCTCCCAATCGCTGCTCAACTTTCCAATCAACCAGCAGCAGCAGCAGCAGCAACAACAGCAACAGCATCATCAGTCACAACAACAACAGCCAGACTCCAAGCCGAACCTGGGCATTCTGCAGCAGCTGACAGAGCCGGCAGCACATATTTTTCACACCAGCAGCATGGACTGGACGCTGCCGATGAACAGTCGCAGCTTTGGCAATTTGGTGGACATTGATGGCGGCTGCCGTGTGCCGTATCAGAAAATGCAACAATCATCGGCGCTGGCCTCCTCCAATTTCACAATGAACTCCTTCGATAGCGCCAACAGCAATGGCATACTCAAAGAGCGCGACTCTCAGTCACATTTGCCAGCCCACGCCCACTCACATCCACACAATCATCCGCATGGCCATTCGCATCATTATCATGCACACGATGTGGCCCATTCGCTGCTGCATCATGCGGCCGTTGGCGCAGGTGCCGGCATTCCGGCCACGCCACAGAAACATCATCAGCTGCACTCGAGCGTCACGAGCATCATGCCCTGGAAGCATCGACAGTGCCCCAGTCGCGGCTCATCCAGTTCGGGCACTAACTCATTCCGTAAGTTCACATGAATTTCGAATT